TTTGGCAGCCTATTGAACGTGTTGGAATTTGCCGCGAACTACCTCAAGGCGAAAACAGTAGCGTTTCCTTGCTTGGCAACAGGTAAGTATATATATGTAGTTAGATTATGTCTGTACTATTTATAGAACTCGGTATTTCAATTCCTCGTGGGGTACTCCTCGCATACAGTCTCTTAGGAATGTGTAAATGGCGAAAGTCGGGTTAACGCAAAATACACAAGTATCATTCCCATGATATTTTTATTTTATTTTATTGAATAAACACCAACAAATAAACAAGAGGGTATATGCAAATCTACTCCTTATGCTAAGTGGTCTGAATGTCACGAGGCTTTTGTCGGAGAATATAAAAACAAACAGCAACAAAAGTTAAGTCGCCACAAGAGGGCGTGATGTTCGGAAGCTTATCATACTCGTTTAGCTTATGTGTATCATATTGTTTGCAGCCCATTAATAAAACGCCTTCTAAATCAGACATTCTGATTGGAAAACGAAAGGTATTTTTGGTGTTTGATGCAGCACTCCATATTAACACTTGCAGACCACAAAATGTGTCTCTTTTCATTCATCTTATCTATGGTTCCGCAGCACCAAAGTCTATAATACAAATGTAGTCACTATAGTAAAATTCTTAATTAACTATACATGTTCGAAACTACGTGGGACCCTACACTGATCGGTCCAACATAAAATCAACCATACCACATAAGCACATTTCCATTTTCTCATACTTCAATGATGGGGTTTCAATAGTTTAAACCAGTCACCACAAACCACAACAGTCAACTGTTTGAAAGAAATGCCATCTGTATAATCATGTTTGATATTCCATTTGTATAAGGTTCTGTACATGGACTCCAGGTGAAAGCATTCTGTCAGACTTTACTAGCCGCCATTGATGCATTCACAACGGAGACGTTTGGAATGAACAACCTACGTGAAATACGAGTTGTGGATCTTAATTACACCAAGATATCTATATTGGTCGACGTATTTAAATCTCGATACGAAAACACACATCACGAGTCTGTCCCTGCAGGTAATAAACTATCTATTCTAATCTATTTTATTAATGTCTGTTTTATTTATTCTTCCAAAATATTGGTTCATCATTTTGAACACTTTTTTTTTTAATTGTTACTATATGAACCAGCCATAAATGAATATTTGAGCCGTGTTTTCTGCAAATATGTGCACATTACATTGCTTATCGAATATGATTGAGAGAAGATTAAAATAGTCAACAACAATATCCAAAATGAAAAATAATAAATAATCAAAGAAAGCTTAGAAAGAACTCCCATGTGCTGAGAGTATTAGAGACACATTAAAAATAATTCGAAATTACTTGTACTTGAGATATTGATGGAAAAGCTGAAAACTAATTATGCAAATCAGAAAATTAATATAAACAGGTTTGAGTGTAAAACTAATGAGGTCTGAGCAATGTAACAAATCATCTATGTACCAAGTTTTATTGAAATGTGATTAGAACCACAAAATTATGAATTATAATGCTAATTAGGGAATTAATATCAACAGATTTTAACCCCAAATTAATCAGGTTTGTACATTGTCCTAGAGTATCTTTGTACTAAGTTTCATTGAAATGGAATAATTTCTACTTTAGATATCAGTGTGATAGCCTAAAATTGGTTAGGTAATTAATATGTACAGATTTTAACCCACAATTAATTAGGTCTGTCTATTGTCCTACAGCATCCATGTACAACGTTTTGAATGTGATGATTAGTACTTGAGATTTTAGTGTGAAAATTGGTTAATTATGCAAATTAGGTGATTAATATGCATAAATATTTATCCCAAAACAATCAATCTCTGCATAGTTTTTGAGTATCTATGTTTCATTGAAATGTAATGCTTACTACTTAAAATATACAAAGCTGAAAATTAATTAATTATGCAAATTAGGTAATTAATATGTACAGATATTACCCTAAAAACAACCAGGTCTGTGCAGTGTCCTATGACATCTATGTACCAAGTTTCATTGAAATGTGATGTTTAGTACTTGAGATACCGGGGGTAGTAAAAAAAAAAAGAAAATTGGCTAATTATGCAAATTAGGTAATTGATATGCACAGATTTTTATCAAAAACAGCTGCAGATTAGTTCAGAGCATTTATGTACCAAGTTTCATCAAAATCCAATGAGTGGTTCTTTGGATATTAGTGGAACAGTCATGGAACAGCTAAAAATTAGCTAATTATCATGCAAATTAGGTAATTAATATGCACAGATTTTTACCAAAAACTAATCAAATCTGTGCATTGGCCCAGAGCATCTATGCACAAAGTTTCATCAAAAACCGATGTATGGTTCTTGAGGTTGCAGTGGAAAAGACGGACACACATACATACAAACATACAGACACACTAACTCTTCCATTGTGTGCTTCGTACATGGTCAAAAATTCAGGAGAGGTACCCCCAAGTTTTTTCTTTTAACTCAAATAACAATAATATAAAAAAAACTTTAGAACATCATAAGAGTGTGCCGCACATTGCTAATTTAATTTAATATTGGATTTTTTTTTCCATATAATTACAGATTACCTGAAGAGATATAATGGTGGATACAGTGTTGCCAAGCCAACTGATGTTTTTCCTATCCATAGACAAAACACTGAAACACGCGATTCATACAAAGACAGCTTACCACAAAAACCAACGATGGTATCAATTGGTGTTCCATCAACAGGAATGACCAATCCACAATGCCATTGCCAAGCCAGTAGTGAACGCGAGGCTGCATCTATGGTATCTAACATGTCCAATAGATAATCTGCATACG